TCGTGACATAATTACAAACAGGTGATATGAAGGTGATTGAAGGCTCATTTGCGGCCAAGAATTCCTCCAAGGAGTCCACCACTTCCTCCTTGTCCTCCTCCCAGAAGTCCGCCCAGTAGACCACCATTTCCACCAGTCAAACCACCAGTCAATCCACCGAGAAGTCCCGAATCTCCACCAAGAAGGCCACCCAGAAGTCCGCTATCGTTGTCGAGAACGGATCCGAGAAGTCCACCGACCAATTTTCCATTCAGAATTTGCAGTAGAAGACCATCAACAACACCAGGGGCACCAGATGGACCACCAATCAGACCTGAAAATAGAATATTAGAAGGTTTAGAATGTATTTAGATACCATCAAGAAGAGGATTTCCATTGGCACCAAGAAGATGTCCGAGAAGACCTCCATTTCCAGCCAGCCAAGTATCAAGACTGTAATAGGGATACGGTAATTAGGTCATTATATAGAAAACTGACGTTGGGAAGTATCCAAAGACATCACAGAAGAGTCCAGAATCTGGCCAAGAAGTCCTTGATTGACCTTGTCGAGAGATAGGTTCGGCTGTTTGAAGGATTTGAAGGCAAAGGTCCGTGAAAAAAGCACTCTTAAAAGCAAGAACACCTAGAAGACGATAGATTGATGGTAGATGATCATGCCAGAGAGCAGATATTCCACATCAGCATTTAGGACGAAGTCCACAAGGGTCCATTCAGGAACGTAGAGAAGGGATGAAGTCTCTAGAGTTCCCTTCAGAATATCCAAATGTTCCAGAGTGTAGGCATCAACGGTCTCTCCGTCGATAGTCGTCGTCGTCTTGTTCAAGATGCGCAGCTTCGAGACTAAAGAATGGTGGGTTTAGTATCTTAAAAAGTACGACTCACTCCAATCAACGGCACAAGCCAATGCTTTGATGTCTCCAATCGGATTGGGGCATTGACGACAATCAGAAGTGGCTTGTTCGGCTGATCCGAGACCCAGTTGGGCTACGGTAGCCGAGGCAAGAAGGCACAGAGTTGCGATGCGGA